AAAAAAAAAAAAAAAAAAAAAAAAAGTAATACCAACCACAGATAAAGCTCTTACCATGTGGCAGGCACCTGGTGAGGGCTTCATTCATTTATCCCTCCCCTAATCTTCCCATGGCGGGGAAATATTCCATTTTACGGTGGCGAAACTACAGGAAGGCCCCGGTGTTGCCCATCTGACCCTGCGTGGGTGACGGCTCCTCTGGGCCTCAGTTTCTCCTTTGCGGGATGGAGTGCTTGGTGACCTATGTCCTCCCCATCAGTAGGACCCATCTGTGCCTCAGATTTCTCTGTCCACATGGGGCTTGTCCAGCAACGAGAGCTTGAAGCCTCAGTTTGCCCTCCCTACACCTGGCTCCCCCATCAAGGGACCTTCGAGCCTCAGTTTCCCCTCCCCACACCTAGTTCCTCCCTCAGCAAGGGAGCTCCAGGCCTCAGGTTCTCCTCCCCACACCTGGCTCGTTCCTCAGCAAGGGAGCTCCAGGCCTCAGGTTCTCCTCCCCACACCTGGCTCGTTCCTCAGCAAGGGAGCTCTGGGCCTCAGTTTCCCCTCCCCACAAGGGCTTGTCCTGCAGCAAGGAAGCTCCAAGCCTCAGTTTCCCCTTCCCACAGCGGGACTCGCCCCTCAGCAAGGGAGCTCCAAGCCTCAGTTTCCACTCCCCACACCGGGGTTTGTCCTGCAGCAAGGGAGCACCGGGCCTCAGTTTTCCCTTCCTGCCCGAGCCGCGACGGGACGAGGGAAGCGGGTGCTCACCAGATAGTAGATGGACAGCACCCCGGCGCCGGGCTCCAGCAGCGCGTCTTTGAGGAGCACCCGCAGCGTGACCGCGCGCCTGGTGAGCGCGCCCCCCGGCCCGCCGCAGCCCCCCGCCCCGGCCCCACCGCCGCCGCCGCCTCCGCTTCCTCCGCTGCCGCCGCCGCCACTGCGGCCACCGCCCGTTCCCGCATTCGGCCGCTCGGGGTCCTCGGCCTCCGCCTCGTCCTCGTCCTCCTCCGGCGCCTCCTCGCCCGCGCAACCCGCCGGGGACAGCGGCTCCGGAGCTGCGGGCGACGAGAAGCTATAGAGAGGCCGCGCGTCCCCCGCCGCGGTAGCCGAACGCCGCGCGCCTCCGCCCTGCAGGGCCCGCCGTACCTGCCATGGCCGCGCCTCCCCGCGCCCCGAGCCGCCGCCTGCGGCTTCTCGGCACGTGACGCGGCCCCGCCCCGGGGAGGGAGGAGGCGCCCCAGCCATTGGCCGCAGCCGGGGCCGGGGGAGGGGCTCGGCGCGCTGGAGTGGGCGGGGAAACTGAGGCCTCGGGGCTGCCCACGCGGGAGAGATCAGGAACTTAGCCTTCCCGGAACATTCGGGAAACTGAGGCCTGACGCTCCGCTCCATGGGATGAGGTGGTGACCGGGAGCTCATTGGTGCCAGTGGGGAAATTGAGGCCTCGCTGTCCAGGGATAGCGGTTGCAAGGTGGAAGCCTGGGGCAGGTGCGCGGGTGGCTCAGCCTGCTGCAGGGAGAGGAGAAGCTGAGGCTTGCGCCCACCGCGCTTAAGGACCTCAGGCCTTGGCCTTTGGGATCAGGAGAGAAACGGGTCCGCGGGGACAATGCAGACTTCAATAGGGAACAGCCTCGCGCAGACACAGGTGGAGTCAAAGCGCCCAAGCCGGCCTCAGTCTCTAAAGGATTAACTCACACCCTCCTGGGCGGCCCTCGACTGATTCCACGATTGGACCGTAGCGGAGCCCGCCAGCCAATGATAAGAGCCCATGTATTTCACCCTCAACCAATCGGTAGCAAGCTGCTGGATTTCCCGCGCCAGCCAATCCGTATTAACTATCTGATTACCCCAGCTGGGATTTGACCAATGGGCAGACTTTCACATAGACCAATCAGACGAAAGCTTTAGTTCTGAGCTCAAACAATCAGAGGCAGGGACTGGACTCAATCGGCCAATCAGCTCCGGGTACAAGGCCAGCCGAGTCCGGCCTTCCATAACCCTTGGGCGGGGCAGGTGGCAGGGCCGGGCAGGTTGCGCGCCCCGTCAGTGCAGTCCCGGCCTTTGTCCTGGACCCTGTACCGGGACCGTCGTCCCCGAGCCCGTAACGCTGGGATTTCCCCACCACCCTGGCACGGCTGAAAGTCCGGGATGGGGACTTCCTGAAGCTACGGGGCACCGCGGGATGGGTTCAAATGGGGGTAGCTTTGCCCAGACCCCCAGTCGAGAAGTGGGGACGGGACAGTAGGGGTGCGGGGGAGACTCTCCAGGGCTCCAGGGAATGCCGTCTAGAAGAAGACTTGACAGAGACCAAAGGCTGGGTACATGTGAACTATTATGATTATTATTGTGCAGTCCAGGCACCCTGTAAGGGCCTCACCCTGACTGTCCAGCCAACCACGGGCATCCCCAAGGCTCCCAACTCAGCATAGCCCAAACCAACCTTGGTTTATTTCCCCAAGTCCTTACAGGCTTCCTCTTTGGCTGTTTTGTCCCCTGCCTTCCAAAACCCTAAGCCACACCTCCAGCCTCTTGCACCTGAATCCTGGCCATCCCAGTGGGTCTCAGGCCTCCAAACTCATGCTCCATTCCCCAGAGGGCTCTTTCTAATATGCACCTATTACCATCTCCCTCCCATATTATGTTTTTTCTTTTTTTGCGGGGGGAGACTAGGGTCTCCCTCTGTCACCAGGCTGGAGTGCAGTGGCACGACCTCAGCTCACTGCATCCTCCGCCTCCGGGGTTCATGCAATTCTGCCTCAGCCTCCCGAGTAGCTGGGACTACAGGCGCGCGCCACCACGCCCAGCTAAGTTTTTTGTATTTTTAGTAGAGTCGGGGTTTCACCATGTTGGCTAGGATGGTCTCCATCTCTTGAACTCATGATCCACCCGCCTCGGACTCCCAAAGTGCTGGGATTACAGGCGTGAGCAATTTTTGTATTTTTAATAGAGATGGAGTTTCACAGTGTAGAGCAGGCTGGTCTCAAACTCCCAACGTCAGGTGACCCACCAGCCTTGGCCTCCCAAAGGGCTGGGATTACAGGCGTGAGCCACGATTTTCTTTTATTTTTGAGACAGGGCCTTGCTTTGTCTCCCAGGCTGGAGTGCATTGATGCAAACAGCTGACTGCAGCCTTGGCCTCTAGGACTCAAATCATCCGCTTGCCTCAGCCTCCAGAGTAGCTGAGACAATAGGCATGCAGCGCCGTGCCTAGCTCATTTTTAATGTTTTTGTAAGAGAATAGGCTCTCACTGTGTGGCCCACGCTGGTCTCCAAGTCCTGGCCTTAAGCAGTCTTCCCATTTGGGCTCCCAAAGTGTTTGGATTAAAGGCGTGAGCCACGGCACCTGCCCTCCTCCCATGCTCTAAATCCTCCTGCGGCTCCACATTGCCTTTGACAAATAAAATGAAAACTGACCGCCGTGGCTGGGTGTGGTGGCTCACACCTGTAATCCCAGCAGTTTGGGAGGCCAAGGCGGGTGGATCACTTGAGGTCAGGAGTTCGAGACCAGCCTGGCCAACGTGTTGAAACCCCATCTGTATTAAAAGTAGAAAAACTTGGGGAGGGAGGGGAGGGTGGGGAGGGATAACATGGGGAGAAATGCCAGATGTAGTATGCGCCTAAAGTTAAACAAGTAAATTTATAAAAATATATATATTATTTTTAAAGACAGGGTTTCACCATATTGGTCAGGCTGGTCTCGAACTCCTGACCTCAGGTAATCTGCCTGCCTCAGCCTCCCAAAGTGCTGGAATTACAGGCGTGAGCTACCGTGCCCGGCAAAAAAAAAAAAAAAAAGAAATCCTTCTATAAAGATTAAAAAAATAAAAAAAGTGGAAAACCTTAAGGCCGGGCGTGGTGGCTCACGCCTGTAACCCCAGCACTTTGGGAGACCAAGGCGGGTGGATTACTTGAGGTCAGGAGTTTGAGACCACCCTGGCCAACACGGTGAAACTTTGTTTCTTTTTTTTTGAGATGGAGTCTAGCTCTGTGGCCAGGCTGGAGTGCAGTGGTGAGGATCTCGACTCACTGCAACCTCCACCTCCCAGGTTCAGCAATCTCCTGACCTCGTGATCCGCCCACCTTGGCCTCCCAAAGTGTTGGGATTATAGGTGTGAGCCACCGAGCCCAGCTGAAACTCCATTTCTACTAAAAAACACAAAAATTAGCTGGGAGTGGTGCCGGGCACCTGTAATCCCAGCTAAAAAGGAGCGAAACCCTGCCTCAAAACAAAAACGAGAAGAAAACAAAAGCTAACTGCTCTGACCTCGCTTGGTACAGCTGATACTATCAACTTCATCAGACAGCTCCGTGGACGAACACACCGTCCAGAGTCCCACGGCCCTTCTGTGCTTTCTAAAACACCTGTTCTGCTGTGTGTACAAAATCCGGACAGTCCAGCCCTGGTAACTTAAGGAAATTGACTTTGTAATGTTAAAACTCCCAAAAACGCAATCTCCAAGGCCAGATGGTGTCATTAAGGAATTCTGCCAAAGGTTCAAAGAAGAATTAACACCAATTTCACATAATCTCTTCCAGAAAATGGAAGAGGTCACTTCCCAGTTCATTATATGGAACGATGACCCTAATACCCAAAACCAGATAAAAATGGTAGAAAGAAAGCAGGCTCCACCCCACATCCCGCATGAATACATGCAAAAACCCTTAACAAAATATTAGAAAATACAACTCAGCAATACAGAAAAGGAATTACACACCGTAACAAGTGGGTTTACTCCAGGGACACGAGACTGGTTCAGTATTCCAAAATTAATCGATTGTCCGCCATATTTAACAGGCTGTAGTAGGCAAAATCATGGTCCCCTAAAGATACCCACACCCCAATCCTCAAAATCTGTGAATATGTTAGGATACATGGCAAAGGGGGTTGAAGATCGAAGGTGGACGCCAGGCACAGTGGCACACACCTGTAACCCCAGCATTTTGGGAGGTCTAGACTGTAGGATCACTTGCACCCAAGAGTTCAAGACCAGCCTGGGCAACATAGCAGGAACCTGTGTCTACTAAGTGATAAATTAGCCGGGCGTGGTGGCACCCAGAGGTCGTACCACCTACTCTGGAGGCTGAAGCTGGAAGATCGCTTGAGCCTGGGAGGTCGAGGCTACAGACTCATGATCGCCCCACTGTACTCCAGCCTAGGCAACATAGTGAGAACTCATCCTTAAAAAAGTAAAATAGGCCAGGCGCGTGGCTCACGCCTGTAATCCCAGCACTTTGGGAGGCCGAGGCGGGTGGATCACAAGGTCAAGAGATCGAGACCATCCTGGTCAACATAGTGAAACCCCGTCTCTACTAAAAATACAAAAAATCAGCTGGGCATGGTGGCGCGTGCCTGTAATCCCAGCTACTCAGGAGGCTGAGGCAGGAGAATTGCCTGAACCCAGGAGGCGGAGGTTGCAGTGAGCCGAGATCGAGCCATTGCACTCCAGCCTGGGCAACAAGAGCAAAACTCCATCTCAAAAAAAAAAAAAAGTAAAATAAGGGCCCGGCGCGGTGGCTCACTCCTGTAATCCCAGCACTTTGGGAGGCCGAGGTGGGTGGATCACGAGGTCAAGAGATCAAGACCTTCCTCACCCAATATAATGAAACCCTGTCTCTACTAAAAATACAAAAATCAGCAGGGCATGGTGGTGCACCCCTGCAGTCACAGCTACTCGGGTGGCTGAGGCAGGAGAATCACTTGAACCCAGGAGGCGGAGGTTGTTGCAGTGAACCAAGATGGCACCACTGCGCTCCGGCCTGTCTACACAGCGAGACTCCATCTCAAAAACAAACACTAGAATGTTCTAGAGCTTGCTAGCAGGATAAATATTTCCATTCCGGGCTGTGGCCAGGAGTAGGCTGCTGTGGTGGCTGTGAGAAATAGACAAGCAGCCTGGAGGTATTGGCCGTAGACGTGCTACAATCAACTTTTTTTTTTTTTTTTTTTTTGAGACAGAGTTTCACTCTTGTTACCCAGGCTGGAGTGCAATGGCGCGATCTCGGCTCACCGCAACCTCCGCCTCCTGGGTTCAAGCAATTCCCCTGCCTCAGCCTCCCGAATAGCTGGGACTACAGGCACGTGCAACCATGCCCAGCTAATTTTTGTATTTTTAGTAGAGACCGGGTTTCACCATGTTGACCAGGATGGTCTCGATCTCTTGACCTCGTGATCCACCCGCCTCGGCCTTCCAAAGTGCTGGGATTACAGGCATGAGCCACTGCGCCCGGCCACAATCAACTATTTGATCAGGATACATCCTTCTGTAAAGCTCCCGGACAGCATGCCCAGGGTGGGGACCTTTCTCAAAAGGAGGGGTGGCTTTTCCGTGTCCTCATCATTTCTTTTTTATTACAAAAAACAAACAAACAAAACTACGATAAGGCTGGGCGCGGTGGCTCCCACCTGTAATCCCAGCACTTTGGGAGGCCAAGGTGGCGGATCATAAGGTCAGGAGATCGAGACCAGCCTGGCTAACACGGTGAAACCCCGTCTCTACTAAAAATACAAAAAATTAGCTGGGCGTGGTGGCGCACACCCCTTTAGTCCCAGGTACTCAGGATGCTGAGGCAGCAGAATCACTTGAACCTGGGAGGCAGAGGTTGCAGTGAGCCAAGATCGCGCCATTGCACTCCAGCCTCGGCGACAGAGCAAGACTCTGTCTCAAAAAAAACAGTAAAACAAATTAGCTGGGTGTCGTGGTGCCCACCTGTAGTCCCAGCTCTTCGGGTGGCTGAAGCACGAGGACCGCTTGAGGCTGGGAGGTCACGGCTGCAGCGAACCATGATTGCGCCACTGTACTCCAGCGTCGATGGCAGAGTGAGACACCATCTAAAAAAAACTTGCAGATGGAATTAAAGTTGCTAGTCAGCTGACTTTAAAATAGGGAGAGTATGGTGGATTACCCAGGTGGGCCCAATCTAATCATTAGCGTTCATCAAAGTGAGAGAAAGGGCCAGGCGTGGTGGCTCACACCTGTAATCCCAGCACCTTGGGAGGCCAAGGCAGGCAGAATACTTGAGGTCAGGAGTTCGAGACCAGCCTGGACAACGTGGTGAAACCCTATCTCTACTATAACTACAAACATTAGGCAGGTGTGGTGGGCGGCGCCTGCAACCCCAGCTAGTCAGGAGATGGAGGCAGGAGAACCTCTTTGAACCCGGGAGGCCGAGGTTGCAGTGAGCTGAGCTCTAACCGTTGCACTCCAGCCTGGGCGACAGAGATTCCATCTCAAAAAAAGAAAAAGAACAATAAATAAATAGCTGGTCACGGTGGCTCACGCCTGTAATCCCAGCACTTTGGGAGGCCATGGCGGGTGGATCATGAAGTCACGAGTTCAAGACCAGCCTGGCCAACATAGTGAAACCCGGCTCTACTAAAAATACAAAAAAAAAAGTAGCTGGGCATGGTGGCAGGCGCCTGTAGTCCCAGCTACTTGGGAGGCTGAGGCAGAATTCCTTGAACCCGGGAGACGGAGGTTGCAGTGAGCCAAGATCACACCACTGCACTCCAGCCTGGGTGACAGAGTGAGACTCCATCTCAAAAAGAAAAAAAGAAACATAAAAATAAAATAATAAATAAATAAACAAAGAGACAGACCACGTCCCTGTATTTGCAGATACAGCCAATATTATTCTCCCATTCGGGCAGCCTCATACTTTATCTCTGTTCTCAGTTCCATGCTGGAGAGGCCGGGATTTCCCTAGGATCACTGGACCTGCCTGGTTCAGCCTCCGCCCAGCCCTGGCAGGGGAGGGAGTTGACGGGCAGACAGAGGAGGGGAAACTCCCCTGGAACCTGTTTCTCAGCTTCCCGGCCCAGCTGGGACACCCGCTGCAAGGAGAGGCCAGGAGGAAGACCCTGGCCCCAACATGGCCTCTGCCCTGAGGCCACCCCGGGTCCCCAAACCCAAGGGTGTCCTGCCTTCACACTACTATGAGAGCTTTCTAGAGAAGAAGGCGCCCTGTGACCGGGTAAGGTAGGGCAGGGGACTGGCCCTGCTGGGCTACCGCGGGCAAGTGCAATACCTCTCTGAGCCCCAGTCTCCCCACTCGCCAAGGGGGGCGGGGTGGGTGCCGGATGGGGCAGGGCATGTGCTGTGGGCTGGGGAGGATTCTGGCCATCTGTCTCTCTGTCTCCACGAGTCTTCGGATTTGGTTTCTTTTTCCCTTCCTCTCTCCCTGGCCCGGTGTGTCTCTTCCGACATCTGTCTCAGTTCTTCTCTCTCTCTCTCTGTCTTTTTTT